ACGAGTTTTTATGGAGTTTACGGTTTTGATCACTGTATCCATCACTTCACTCAGTTGTGGGATAATTCCTTCGTAGCAGTGCTTCGACATGGCTTCTGTTGCTGATTTTTTTTAAATTCGCTTAGTGTGGGGTGGAGTCCAGCTGGGTCCACTCGGCACGGCGGCCACTGATTGGCCTATTGTACGAGTAGCCTTCCCCGGGTGATTATGATGACGGAGAATTTTGGTGGAATGAAGATTGGCAGGGGAAAGTACTCGAAAAAGACCTGCCCCAGCGCCACTTTGTCCACCACGAATCCCACTTGACCAGACCCGGGATCGAAACCGAGACGCCGCGGTGGGAAGTCAGCGACGAACCGCTTGAGCTATGGCGCGGACTTTGCTGATTGTTTAATTGGCTTGCAGTCCCTCGTTATTTCCCCGTCAATATGCGATCTCCAGCCGTGCATACTTGGACACAGTTTTACCATTAAGCTTTCTTCTTTCATGGAATCATCAACATTTTTAGAGTTTTTTTTTTTGTTTTTCTTTATTTAGGTTTGAAGATAAGCGTGTCTTCATTAATTGTTATCTTCAAACATGTCGTGCGTAAGCTATCAAGTGACCAGTACCTCTACAACCAGATTCATCGTCAGTCTACCTTGAAATACGTTTTTTCCTCAATTTCAGTCAGCTGTTCTTCTAAGTCTTCTGATATGTCAATAATCCGTCGAGAGGCTATTTTATTTGATAGCGATATATTACGTGGTGTCGATTCCCGATAAGGTCATTGGATTTTCAATTTATATGATCCTTTCAGCCTCGCTATGGCCCTGGGTTCGACTCAGCCTGTAACAGAAATGAGCTCCAGGAAACTTCCTGAGGAGTAAAGGGCAGCCGGCGCGTAAGGCTGACAACCTCACCGCCATCTGTGAGTCGATTGTCTAGAAAATGTATGAGCCTTGACGTCTCACAACACTATGGACTTTTAGATGGATATTTTTATTATTTTTACATATTACGAATTTGCTAGGGGCATTTTTCGCCCAGCATTGTTTGCAAAAAGTCTATCTAAGAAGGGAATACCACATTTTCATTGATCGTATGCGGTTTGTTGTCCTGTGTATGACACCCGACAAGATAATAACAGGCCTTCGGATGATACATTAGTAGCATTAACAAAAATTTTTTTTTGGACGCGAATTTCATCAAGTTTTCTAAGAAGTAGAATGTTTCGTTTGAAGGCGCCGCTATAATTCACGCCCCAATCTCTTTACCCGCGTTACCCATTGGATTGGAGGTTGAGAGGGTCTCAGAGCCTGTCTGAACGACGTGTAGAAGAGAAAATTCTTGACCCTACTGGGACTCGAACTCCGACCCCTCGGTCGTCCAATCGGTAGCCAGTCGCTATGCCGACTACGCAGTCCCGGCTGCAGGATATACTAATATACTGTGTCTAAAACATTTTCTTGATTACGTCATCGTAAGTAACTTATATTAGGTTATTAGAACGTTACTAAATTCTGTTTTCAGCGTATGATGGGATCAGAAATTAGCGTACTGTAAATCTCGATGAAAACATAGGGCTCTTCTCTCTGTTCAAGGTACGCTGTATCTTCAGAGATGTTATAGAACAACAATAAGGGTAATCTTTCGTTTCCGGAGTTACATAACGCAGGAGCAGTCCCTGGGGTTCAGATAGACTTGAAGATAAAGTTCGGAGAAAGACCCATGAAATATATATGCAGAATACAGAACAGTTGAACGCAGCTTTGAGCAGAACAACGCACAGAAATGCACAGAGTAACATGAAATAGGCGGTGACTATTCTTAATGCGAGGAGAGGGGGGATTATATTAAAAGAATAATATCCTATAGCCTTTTACTCGTTGCAGATATTTTTGGCGGATTCTACAATATATATATATATATACACTATTGAATCCTAAAAGCATCTCCTTGTACGTTACGTTCACGTATATAATTAAGGTAAAAAGAGTCAGAAAATGCATAACTGCCTGGCAACGTCAGGAATTGTATTATCTTTAATTCAAGATCATTGATTTACCCTTTTCTCCGAGGGAATAAGGGAAATGTACTTAAAGGGATGGACACAAGGAAATGTGTATAGGAAAAACAAGTTTGAACTTACAGAAATTAATGACCTGGGAGATCACTTATTGCTTGAATAATTACAGCTGCACATGTAAGTAACTAACTTCATGGTGCTGAGCCTTTCTTGAGAAGCCGCCAATTGTGCATCTACTCAAGAAATTCCCGGTATTTTGTGGAACCCAAGGTTCATTACTGTGTTCACAAGAGCCCTCCCCTGGTCCCTATCCTGAGCCAGGTCAATTAAGAGCTTACTAACCCATTCTATCTCTTTAAAATCCGTTTTAATATTATTATTATTTAATATTATGTTATATTATAATATT